ACCCGATACCGGGTATTTTGGCGGGAATTCTGTTCCCACGGCACTGTTCTGATAGAAGCTACTTCTACTAATGGTCCCAGAGGAACGGCCGTAAAGTAGCCAGACTTCTTGTCTCCTGTACTGGCTGACACATGCGGATTATAGTTATAAATTTCGCTATGCTATAAATATAATTGCTCTCGGAATTGAACAAACTCCTACTTATCTAGATCGTTTCTAAATTCGTTAGAGTTTCATGGACTGGGGAAAAATAATCGGTACAGTCTCCCTAGCTGCTTGTGTAATTAAGCAATGAAAACAATCTAAAATTATCACATATGACATAAGTTGTAATAGCAGAAACTTTCTAATCGTACATTCACCCGCCACTGTTCAAGAACCTATATCACTGCAACTGTTTAAAATCATGACGTGAGCACTGTACATCCAATCAGCTATTCCTTTAGTTAGAATGATAGCCAAAACTATAAGGATTTTGGAGAACTAGGGTAATAGTCATAATTCTAAAATTTGAGTGAGTTACACGTGTTTTATTGACGATGATAAACATTTGTAATGTAAATTACGCTATGCAAGCGCGCACTGAGGGACTTTATGACGTCACGAGGCCACAGCTTATTATTGCAATAACACGCGTTACACGTACGCTAGAGAGTTGGTTCTTTCGACGATACGATTCTTTACCAGTTTGTCACAGCTGATTTAAATCTTAGCCAAATTGGAGACTACAAATTTTTCAGTTAACTGGTCCTTTAACAAATAATTCAGTTACAGCTTCAACAAACTTTTCATCGTATGCTAAGGATTTCAACAACTTTGGATGAACGCCATCCGGACCAGAACTCTTAAAAACATTAAGCTTTAAAAGCTGCTTCTTGATATCAGAACTGCTAATTTCCATATCATCAATAACCTCTCTGTTATAACTCTCATTTTGGGGAAGAGGGCCAGGTGGTTCACGCACAAACACAGAACTAAAGGCACTAGCAAGTACCTCAGCAGACTCAGATGAACTATCTGTGCGTGTACCATCTCCTCTATCTAAAGAAACAACACTTGATTTGACTTGACGTTTATTGCGCAAATACGAGTAAAAAGATTTGCAATTCTGTTTTAAATTAGATGTAATCTTCTTTTCATAATTTACTTTAGCTTTAATTTCTGCCACCTCAAAAATATGCTGCTTGCTATTTGCACAGCTAAAGTTAATATCCGAAGGATTAATATCAAATTCAGCCCATGCTTTATCTTTGTTCTTCCTCATTCTTTTAAGTGAAGTTGTACTCCATGGCAACTTGACAGGTCTGTTGTCGAGATAAACCGAAGCAGCTGGGACAGCTGCAGCAACAGACTCCAATTTACCATGTAATTCAACCCACATATCTTGAACATTATTTGTACAACTATAATCCCATTCAATATTATTCTTACTAAAGTTAAATAACTCTTCTGAGGAAATCTTACCCCAAATAGGCTTTAAAATCTTTTGTTTGGGACTTTTGTTAGTATTGGGCGAAACAACCAGTTCGACAAGTATCCCAACATGATCACTTTTGCCAAGCGGAGAAACGATCTTACAACCGTTGACAAGAGCATCATTTGTATACAAAACCTGATCAAGAAGACTCTCCTGGAGAGTATCTTTCACAAGCCGTCTTCTGGTTGTTTCGTTAGTAAAGTACCACGTCAAACCACTGTCATTAAATAAATCAATATACTTTTGTTGAATCATTAAAACCTGATTCTTACTAGGAATACCACTATTTACACTACCAGTTTCCCAAGATACATTAGGTAGGTTAAAATCTCCTATGATAATGGTTTCAAAAACATTCTTTTCACTAGATATGTTCTTGATGCAAGATAATAACATATTGTTCTGTTTTAAATTCAAAGAAGTAGACCTATAAATACAACAAATACTAATCAATCCACCAGAGGTATTGACATTAATAGCTAAAGAGTCTGGTGCTTTTAAAAATGAGCTCACTAATGAAGCATTACAACTGTTTTTAATATAAATGATAGAACCTCCACCTCCACTTATGTTGCTAGTGGAGTTATCGATTTTAAAATCTCTGTCTTTTCTAAACATACTAAAACCTTCAATAAAAATTTCAGCATCTAAAATATCACTATTAAAATGAGTTTCTGTAATGCAGATTACATGAATGGATTTATAAACTGATAGAATACATTTTAGTTCATCAATTTTATTAAATAGTCCATTAGCATTAGTATAAAATATATTCATGGGCTGACTACATTCTTTGTTACTGCTATTTACTTCTTCTCCACCTTCTTCTCTGTCTTTTCCTTCTCTGCTTCTTCCCGCCTCTTCTTCCTCTCTTCTCTGGCTAAAAAACGGATCTCTCGGTCTGCTCTGCAAAGATCCAGATTTATCCAGTATGATGACTCTTTCCAGCCCTTGCCATGGTTGGAATAATAGTTAACTGACTCCTCGTCAGCTGTCTGGATGATCAATGGCCGACAGGAGTCTGGCTTACCTGGATCCACTTTACCTGCACGATGGCAACTGATAAAGTCACTTTTTTCAATCTTTAGTGTCTCCTTGCAGAACTTCGAGTCCTCTTCCTGGCGTAGCTTGGAGTTAGTTTTCTTGCTCTCTGGTACATTCAAAACACACAGATTGAGCTTTCTTAAATTTCGCTCATATGCATCAGTGTGCATCTTTGACTGAACTTTACTAACAACACTTTGAGAAGCTTGCTGTAGGCTCATTTCTTCAATAACTTTCTTCTGACTATTTGCAGTAACATCTGCCCAGGTTTGGAAAGCCTGGTTCACAATTTTTGTTATTTCTTTTGGTTTTTCAGATGAATCATTAGAAGAACTGGTATGACTCACAGAATCTTCGACAATTCCTCTAATACACGGAGTAAGGGCACCAAGTTCTTCTCTAATAACATTCCGTAGGGTCTTGGTTTCTTCACTGTCTGGATTTGTGGACTGGCTTCTTGTGCCCTTGATGTGGGGAGAGATAAAGCAATTTTGGCAGCGCCAGTTAGTCAAGTGGTTACCTTCTTCCTGCGTTAATCCAGTAAGCCCAACACAGCAGTAGTGCCAGTACATGTCGCAAGTTGCACATGCCAAAGAAAACTCCTCCGCAATATATCTTCTACATTCACAGCTACGATCTTCTTCTTCTTCAATTTCTCCATTATCTGCTGTCATATCGACCTTCACTGGACTTTTCTTGACATCTCTTGATCGTGTCATATCTCCGCGTTAAGGGGCCTCAAATTATTTGTTATATAGTAGTGTTGAAAGTATTAAAACTGTACCTACTTGTTTGAGGATTTCCGAGTGTGCGTGCTGTAGATGAGTGTGCGTGCTGTTCGTACTTTAAAGTTTTCCAAATTGTTGCTATATTTGATTTAAATAAAAATTTGTTGTTTTCTTCAAAAAATTGTTGTTTTCTTAACATGCTTATAATGATTCAGCGTGGACATCAAGCGATTATGACATAATGCAGCTGTCATTTGAAAACAATCCCCTTCAACAAATTAAATCAGTAGTCTGTCACTATTAATGCACCACACCGCTACCTCCACTCCTTCTAATAGTTATACAATAAATTCTACAATCCTAATTTTGTATCGCGATGGAGACTGGTGTCCATACAAAACTTTTACTAGGTTGCCGTTTGGTGTGAGCAATAGCGAACAGCACGCACACTCCTCTGCCCCGTCAACCTATATCTAATCTATTTGAGTGACAACCATACTGCACATTGAATTATGATTCCTAAATTAAATATCAAATTATTATTATTATTATAAAACAGGATCTTACCGACAAAAATGATTCTTAAAAATACCTTAATGCGGTAAACTGTACCCTTGAAAAAGATTTTCCCAACATCTGTTGCATGCAGCTATATCTCTAATTTCGTTCAATTCCTGCAAGTTGTCCATTTGCAAATTTCTACTACTTAAATCACTTCTTAAAACCGATAACAAGTTCATTCTAGGCCTCCCCAATCTACCAATGAATAAATTATCTGATTCAATTGCAAAAGAGAGAGCCGTTGAACTTGTTTATTCTGTAATAAAATTGAATTTTCGTTTAGCTGAAATTTTTGTTTAACCGATCTGAGAAGCTACAACTCTCACTTAATTCAAATGGTCAAACACAATTCAATAAAATTTGGCTCAAACCAACTATCAAACAAATGCGAAAATGAACCTTAATTCTTTAAAAATGAACACGAATTTTTTCTATTAGACAAATTTCTCAAACCAGTGGTGGTAGTAAGTCATACCAAAAACAATTATTTCAATTGGGCACTCAGTAACTGAGCTATTAAGGCCAACGTATGGGTATTGACTTTTGGCCCTCCCTGGCCCGGCCCTGTATATAATGCATATCTTACTTATAATTCAGAGAATTCTTTATGCTGTCTGTCTGTCTGTACGAAAGATTGTTAAAACGGCATTTTGATCGGTTTTGATGTAATTATGTTGTGTTTAGTGCAACCAACATTTTAATCGGCTGTATCTTCGGTTGTGATGGATGTTTTTTAATGCGATAAAAACTGACTACAAAATAATACTATTAGCTTCCTCCCTGTGACCACGGTTTTTCTAGTCTTACTTAAAATTCAGAGAATTCTTTTTGTACACTGTACACTGTACGACCGCCCACGTGCACATTAGGTAACAAGCAAAAGTTGCTAAGTAACCATGGTAACGGGGGTTATTAATATTAAGATTGTGCAAAGATTGGCGAACGGCATTTTTATCAGTTTTGTTGATATTACGTTGTGTTTATTGCGAGCAACATTTTAATCAGCTGTATCTTCGGTGGGGATGAATACTGTTTGACACGATTAAAACTGACTGCCAAAGAATACTATTAGGTTCCTCCCTGTGACCACGGGTTTTCTAGTTATATACATAAAATATAACATATATTTACTTTTACTTAAATCTTTGTTTTGCTATGCACACATGGTTTTTTGAACGTACTAATCTAGAAGACTTTACACTACAGAATTTTTCATCATGGCCGGATAGAGATGAGTCTGAACTCGTAAACCTGCCCATTTTTGATAACTACCATGTCAACTCCTTTGCAGGTTGGAAATCAATATGTTGTGTTCATGTATAAATTCAGATCGTTCAGCTATAAAATATTTAATTTGATTTATATCATCTTGCTTTCGCAATAAGGAAAAATTTGGCTGTATCACACGACTTACAGTGGAACAACATAATTCAGAGTACCCCAACTGGATCGAAGTTAGAGAATGCACCAAAAGGAGAACTTATCAAGCTGCTTAAGAGACAGCAGCTTCTTTTAAAGAAATCAAACACTGAAAATGGAGTTGCACAATCCGCACTGAAGTCAACTATTTCATCACTTGAAAGTGAACTTGAATCAAATCAATCATCCGTAAGTAACCATACATGAGATCTGCTTCAGGTATCATGTATGTTCCCGGTTAAAAATAGGTCTTTTCAATGTCAACCCATTGGTTTGAAATGTTTATCAACGAATAACTTGAAAAAACCTGGTAGAAAGTATGTTGAGGCTGCTTCAGTGCTTTAATATATTATGCTACCCGTTATACAAACTTAAAGTAAAGTTTCTGCAAAGTTGAACTTCAATCTTTAATTTCAGTTAGTACAACTTAGACAAGAAAACGATGACATCTATTCTTCAAACAAGATGCTCACTTCTGAATTTGAGGTTAATTTTATTACTTTTTTGCTGAAATCTTTGAAGATGTCGACTTTTAAAATCATATTCTTATTTATAACTATGCAATCTGATTCTAACATGGAAACTATCCTTACATTTTTAAGCCATGGTCCTTTACCTTATATCATTACAATACATGGCAGCCCCGCTGACTTTGTTATACAGGTACTAAAAAGTGAAGTAGATAATTATAAATCGTCAATAAGCGACTTGGAAAGCTCAGTAAAACAACTGAAGAATGACAAGGAAGACTGCCTTACCGAACTTGACGTCCTTAGAGATAATAAAGAGGTAGGTATTGGTTGAATTGTCCCACTTGGAGATATTTCACCTTTCAGGCTGTCATACTAACGATACAAAAGTATAAGATTTACCATGAACATTGAACATGATTTACTATCAAATTACCCATTAATGGTCAATGTATTTTAATTAACAGATTATTTTTGAGCTAACCTCTCATTTTCTCAGCAGCTGAAAGGACTGTTAACAATGATGCAGGAGTCTGATAGCCAGCTTAAAGGAGAAATTACAAGACTGACTTCACAGGTTGAGAGTGAGGTAGCAGATAGGGTGTCAGAACGGGAAGCGTGGAAAGAGAACATCAGGATCCTCCAGGAACAGATTGAGGGTGATTAGAAGATCTTACTTTTAATTAAATACAGTGGCCAGTGCGCTCACTGATAATCGATTGTAGGAATGCTCTAGAGCCGTTATTAATAATAATTAACATAATTAACATAATTAACATTATTCTCAACAATATAACCTCCTACAACAGAGATTGTAGGAATGCTCTAGAGCCGTTATAATTAATTAATTAACATTATTCTCAACAATATAACCTCCTACAACAGAGAGCAACGCTAAACTAGCTGAAGCAGAGAAAAGTGTGTCCCTCCAAAAACAATTGTACTCCGCAAAAAGTGACATAGCCTCTCTGAAGAATGAGGGAGACTCCCTTAAAAACTTGATAAAGGAGTACAATGAACAGTTTGCTCTAGAGACCAGCACCATTTCACAAGTTCTTGGTGCTCTTAATAATTCCAGTACTGCTACATGGTAACTACTAACTATTGAATGATATGACGTGTCTCGCCAATGAAAATCTAAATACAATTTTAACTGGTCAAATTTAAATCGGGCACTGTGCGCGTGTGATTACGTTCATATTTATTATGAACTATAATGTTTATAAATATAATAGTTCATTGATAAAATAGATTTTAGTTGTCGGATTATTTCAACTTTCGACAATTAACGTACATTTTATCGGGTAGTTAGTTCGAAGTATTGCTGTAGATAATAAACTCCAGATGATTCTCAATGGTACTTTTCAGTTCTCAAGATGATTTATTGGTGGAGATGAATGATTTGAGAAGTTACATCGAAAGGCTTGAATATAAGGTAATCAATAATTCTAGGAGTTAAATCTGATTATATTTACATTCGGTAATTAAAATAAAATGTCTCTTACACAACAGATAGCCAAGGAAAGTTTAAAATATTGCAACCACCAGGACGCCGAGAGCCAACGGAAAATAGAGGAGCTTATTCAACAAGGTTCACAGTCGGATCAGAACAATAACGACAATGAGTGTGACAATGTTCAGCCTTCTGTAGAAAGCGCACAAGATCACGAACGTCAGGTAGGTTTCAGCTCAACTTGATTATGTATTAATTTATTGCTGTCGATTTTCAGTTTTGTTAGGGAATGTTCCATTGATTTTCAGGTATTTGCTCAGAATTTTGAACGATGTAAATTTAGAATGAGACAAATGAAAATGATCAATACATATTATTAAATAAATTCCAATCAAAGATTTCCTTTCTAACCCTATCCAAAATTAGCTGGAAGAAGAGTTGAACTCTAGTAAATTACAAGTCTGCGAGATGGATGAAAAGATGAAGAACCTGGAGGAAGAAAAAAGAAAGATAAAGCTGCATCTTGACGAGTTCATCTCAGAGAACGCTAACTACAAAGATCAGGTAGGACAAGCACCGCTAAGTCCTGTCAAATTCCCGCACGCTCAATGTTAAATGTTGCTATAGTTGGGACTTTCCTCGTTCAGGATTGCTTTTCGATTCCTTTTCCACGTCAAAGCTATTTTGGAGCTGAAAATCAGGGCTTAAAACATACATGTTACACAGATAGACAAATTAGAGCACAAAGAACATCGACTGACAGAGACTATGACCGCAGTGATGGTAAGAAACCAGTTAACAAACCCGCTACTCATAAACCCGCCACTCATAAACCCGCCACTCATAAACCCGCTACTCATAAACCCGCCACTCATAAACCTGCCACTCATAAATCCGCCACTCATAAACCCGCCACTCATAAACCAGGCACTCATTAACCCGCTACTCATAAACCCGCCACTCATAAACCTGCCACTCATAAACCCGCCACTCATAAACCTGCCACTCATAAACCCGCTACTCATAAACCCGCTACTCATAAACCCGCCACTCATAAACCTGCCACTCATAAACCCGCCACTCATAAATCCGCCACTCATAAACCCGCCTATCATAAACCCGCCACTCATAAACCCGCTACTCATAAACCCGCCACTCATAAACCCGCCTAACATAAACCCGCCCCTCATAAACCCGCCACTCATAAACCCGCCATTAAAAAAAACCCGCCATTTAAAAACCGCCACTCATTAACCCGTCACTCATAAACCCGCCCCTCATAAACCCGCACTTAAAAACCCGCCACTTATAAACCCGTTACTCATAAACCCGCACTCATTAACCCGCACTTAAAAACCCGCCACTCATAAACCCGCCACTCATAAACCCGCTACTCATAATAAGTTAGCGGACGATAGTTCAGTGGTTCGTTATACTGTCGACCAGTGTGATGTATACCCCACTTCTTGTTATATTATATCATATTGTGGTATTAGTAATAAGTATAATAGTTTAACTGTTTGAATAATATTTAAACACATGATCACATTGCACGTACCCCGAGAGGGCCAAAGTTAGTGTCAGGTGTCTAAACATCGTCAAATTATCGTCAAATTATTATAGACAATTTTCGAGTCCACAGTGTAAAATTATCATAGCACAATCAGTGGTACGACTCGAAGCTATTTAATGTTTAAAATAATTGTCAAAAGCATCCGCTTACTCGTTAAGTGTTTAGCATTTTTAAGCATGACGCTATTTACTATTAGAATATTTTGAAATGGGTGTTAACTGTTGAAATAAGTAAACAGGCTTTGTTTTATAAACTTTATGAAAATCTATGTAAAGAGTAATACTGTTACTATGGAGCTATGGTTACTGCCCATATTAACATGATATGTAGCAATATAATTTCCTCGATATAACTTGTTTTTGGAAAAATAAGATAACAAATATAACCAGTATCGTAAAGATTCCTCAATTAAGCTTGACTACCCTCCAGCAAAACACGGAGGAGGAGATGCAGGGACAGTACTCAGCAATGAAGTGTGCTGTACTGGAAAAGGAGGATATTATAAAGGAGCTAAACAGTGAGGTATTCACGTTGAACAGCGAGCTGGAAACTCTCCGACACACCTTGTTAAAGTTGTCTGAAAAGAATGAGATGTTAGAGGGGAACCTTCAGGCAAATCAGGTTATTTTCCGTTCAAGATATTTTTTGTGTTGTGGTGCTCACTTTACCAATATCATAAAAATGTCATGTCGCATGGACGTCTAATGGGTCCCGCCTTAATGTTTCTGTTTTGATGTTAAAAGTTATATTTAACTTCTGAGATTGGTTTGATCTCTTCACCTGGGCACCTTACAGCAGTTCTAGTGCAGTTCTAGTGCAGTTCTAACTTCTAGTGCAGTGATTGGATTGAGATCGCATCTTCTGTTCTCCAAATCCCCGATATTAATACAATATCTGATATATGCCAGTGGTAGTGTAGAGTTTAATATAGCACACAAGAGGGGGATTATTTAAAACAGTGAAAAGTTTGTTTAGCAGGAGCTTTCAAAATACATATGTAAAACCTCTTCATTTCTTTCGGATTAAGATGGCATTTTACAACACACCAACTTAACCTGGGTAAAGTATGATAACCCATTTATTCTTCACAGGAGGCATTGGACATATCGTCGAGAGAAATAGAGAAAGAGCAAGAAGAAAGCGAAACTCTTTTAAATGAGCAAGCGGAGGAGTTCAGATCAGAGTTGGAGAAAGTGAAAAAAGAGATGGGAACGTTAGAGGCGGAGAGGGATACACTAAGTAGCCAAGTCTTTGTTCTGGAAGAGCAGGTAACTGGCTTAAATCCTCGTGGTTTTGTTTTATCACTATACTAGATATGGCTTATCAAAATTTGGGTATACAAATAGGTGACTTATTGACTATGACATGAAGATCGCTATAATTTCTGTATCAGGTGAATCAAGTGACAAGCGATTTGGAGTCGGAACGTTCCAGGATTGAGACTCTGGAACATTCGGCGAAAGAGGCAGCTAAGATCATATCGTCAAAAGAAAACGAGATATCTCAACTCATAGAGCAACTCAATAGGGCTGAGGAGTTCAGTAATAGGTGAATTTATAATTTAAATTAGATTAGTTTATCGTAGATAGTACTGTTGAATCTGGCCTAATTTATCTTCGTTAACCTGATGTTTCCATGGTTCCCTACCCGTCTGTAACAATACAATATCTGATTCCAGGCTAAAGGAGGACACTCAAGGATCCCACCATCTGATGGACATGGAACTAGCTGACTATCAGAGAGCTGCTGACACTTTACAAGACAAACTTACTGCCGTACGTTTTACTCCATGTTTAATTTTTGATAGGAACAATCTCATATGTGTTTCCTTGCTCCGCCACTTTTCAGGATGAAGATAATTCATAACTCTGATCATATTTGTTTGTTCGTATTTCTCGCCACAACATGAGTTTTAAAAAATTTTGATTTAAATATTTATTTTTGGTTTTCTATCACTACTTCATGTTTACTTCAATCTTGTAGAGTAAAGCAGAAGTGGCTCAGCTAGAAGCTGAATTGGCAAAGAAAGAAGAGTCTGTCAACAGAGCCTGTAATGAACTGAAAGAATCTGAGAAACAGAGATCAAATCTCGACGAAATGATCACAAAATTGAAAGGTTCGTGATAAAGCCATAATATGGGGTGCCCACACATCATTTCGATGTTCACCTCCCAGTAACTTGTACCATTTTCCCAGCGCCTTACCAATAATTTTTGTCTAAGGTACAATTTGATATAAAAAGGCCTAATTTTCATATTGACTGATGTTACGTATTACGCGCGCCGCGCGCGCATGCTACTCGATATTCTGTTGATTCGAACGAACATAATTAATTATTTATCACTTACTTAATTCTGATATAATTACCATTATCACCGAATATGGTCACTACTAAAGAACGGAGTAAAAAACTTACAATCAATAACATGATTTTTAAATTTCAAGTGCTATTAATGAAAGCAAAGAAGGAGGCAGCAGATTGCAAAAAAGCTGAAGATGACTTAAAATCGGACTACGAAGAAACCAGGCAGACTTTGGAGCAAACAATCCAGAATCTGGAGGACGCGAAATTAGAGCTTGCAGAAGTTCAGTGTGAACTGAATAACATGAGGGAATGTTCCAGAAAGAAGTCTGAAGAAAAGAGTGCAATGTTAAAGAACATGGAGGCAAGGTTTACAGCGTTACAGGTATGAGTAAAACAACACCATTATAATCTGTTATTTACAAGATAATTTGTTTACCGCTTAAAAGGGTTTAACCTCGTTTTTACTGGCTTATTAATCAAGGATCTTCTAATATTCCCGTCTGTACGACTTCCGCCCCGAGGTTTGAGAGTTGGAACACCAAGGTACCCATCTAATTAGGAAATAATGTGCCTCGGGTACAAATTCTAATCAACATTTTGCGCAATTGTTTTTCGCATAGTTTTTAAGTCTCCAGACTTCAGAGCTATGTGGCCACTGATCACACCCTATTTTGCTCAAACGTGAGTAGCAATTTGTAGTGTTGTAATTAGTAGTAAGTAAGTAAGTAAGTAAATATTATGACATTACATCATCACAAGTGTCTAAAAAAATATCATTGCTCTAAATAGAAAAATAATTCAAATAGATATATTCTTCCATCAACATTAATAATTTATTAAATTCAATTTTATAAATTAATAAAATCTAATGCATTATATATAAATAATTAATTAAAACTTCCCAGTGGAATAAAGATTTATAAAACGTTTCTTTGCCACAAAAGGATGAAACCAAAGATATTCATTATGTGTCTCCTTATTGCTTAAATAACTGGGTCCTTCAATTTTCCCTAAAACTTCGTTCGAAACATTCCAAAAATAAAAATCATTTACACTGTTTTTAGAAATCATTTCTTTCTTAAATCCTTCCAACCTAACTTTAAAGCTTAAAACTGTCGAGCAGTTCTTGACATCTGAAGGGAGTTTGTTCCAGTAAGGAATGACTCGCTCCGGAAGAAAAGAAGACTGGAGATTCTTGACTTTAGTTACACTCTTACTACACCTATTGGTTGAAACTAGATTAAGACCAGATCTGCTCATTCTGAACAAACCCGATCCATATTCAGTCAAACCACTAGTTACTTTAAAAGCTTCAATAAGGTCCCCACGTATTCGCCGCTCTGCCAGCGTTGTCAAATTGAGGATATCCAATCTACGGCTGTATGGAAGAGTACCCACCTCATCAATAAGACGGGTAAACCGCCTCTGGACGCTCTCGAGCTCCAAAACAGTCCCCCAACTTCCATGAGCCGCAACTGGATTCCACAATTGGACACAATACTCAAGATGAGGTCTTATCAAAGCTTTATAAATAGCTATCATTACAACTTTTTCTCTAATAACTAAGTTCCTCACAATCCAGCAGATCATACGATTTGCTTTAGAAATACATGCTTTTATCTGTTCATTCCAAAGCAAGGAGCTATGGGTAATAACCCCCAAATCTTTTTCCTGTGCAGATACTTCTAGTTCTACTCCATTTACAATATAATTCGAGTTAGGATTATTATTCAGATTAATATGGACTACTTTACACTTGGCAGGATTGAAGTTTAAGTGCCAAATACTCTCCCAAATTTCGAGTTCTAAAATATCATCAGATACACTTTTATGGTTAGCTGCATTACAAACTAACTTGAGATCATCTGCAAATAATTTAATCTTATTTTTAACATTGTCAGGTAAATCGTTTATATAAAGAATAAATAACAAAGGACCTAATACTGACCCCTGGGGAACACCAGATAATACGTGTTTCACCTCAGACCATTGTCCTCCTACACAAACCCTCATGGTTCTGTCTGTCAGAAAGTCTTTTATAACATCTAAAACTTTTCCCTTGACCCCAAACCCCTCCAATTTAGATAGAAGTCTAAAGTGGGGGACTGTATCGAAAGCCTTACTAAAATCAAAATACAAAAGATCAACAGGAGCACCTTCGTCTAAAATATCAAGAATATTATCAAATGTCTCTAAGAGATTAGATAGACAAGATTTACCCTTCACAAATCCATGCTGATGCTTTGAAATTCGTTCTTCTAAAAATGTTAATAAATGTGCCCTCACCAACTTTTCATACACTTTTCACAAAATACAAGTTAATGAGACAGGTCTATAATTTAAGGGATCAGATTTAACACCCTTTTTAAACAATGCTACAACAGATGCTGTCTTCCAAATGTCAGGCAGGACTCCTGTTTCTGAACATTTAACAAATAATTTAGTAACAGCTTCAACAAACATTTCATCGTATGCTAAGGATTTCAACAACTTTGGATGAACGCCATCCGGACCAGAACTCTTAAAAACATTAAGCTTTAAAAGCTGCTTCTTGATATCAGAACTGCTAATTTCCATATCATCAATCACCTCTTTGTTATAACTCTCATTTTGGGGAAGAGGGCCAGGTGGTTCACGCACAAACACAGAACTAAAGGCACTAGCAAGTACCTCAGCTGACTCAGATGAACTATCTGTGCGTGTACCATCTCCTCTATCCAAAGAAACAACACTTGATTTCACTTGACGTTTATTACGCAAATACGAGTAAAAAGATTTACAATTCTGTTTTAAATTAGCTGTAATCTTCTTTTCATAATTTACTTTAGCTTTAATCTCTGCCACCTCAAAATTATGCTGCTTGCTATTTGCACAGCTCAAGTTAATATAAGAAGGATTAATATCAAATTCAGCCCATGCTCTGTCCTTGTTCTTCCTCATTCTTTTAAGTGCAGTTGTACTCCATGGCAACTTGACAGGTCTGTTGTCGAGATAAACCGAAGCAGCTGGGACAGCTGCAGCAACAGACTCCAATTTACTATGTAGTTCAACCCACATATCTTGAACATTATTTTTACAACTATAATCCCAGTCAATATTATTCATACTAAAGTTAAGTAACTCTTCTGAGGAAATCTTACCCCAAATAGGCTTTAAAATCTTTTGTTTGGGACTTTTGTTAGTATTGGGTGAAACAACCAGTTCGACAAGTATCCCAACATGATCACTTTTGCCAAGCGGAGAAACGATCTTACAACCGTTGACAAGAGCATCATTTGTATACAAAACCTGATCAAGAAGACTCTCCTGGAGAGTATCTTTCACAAGCCGTCTTCTGGTTGTTTCGTTAGTAAAGTACCACGTCAAACCACTGTCATTAAATAAATCAATATACTTTTGTTGAATCATTAAAACCTGATTCTTACTAGAAATACCACTATTTACACTACCAGTTTCCCATGATACATTAGGTAGGTTAAAATCTCCTATGATAATGGTTTCAAAAACATTCTTTTCACTAGATATGTTCTTGATGCAAGATAATAACATATTGTTCTGTTCTAAATTCAAAGAAGTAGACCTATAAATACAGCAAATACTAATCAATCCACCGGAGGTATTGACATTAATAGCTAAAGAGTCTGGTGCTCTTAAAAATGAGCTCACTAATGACGCATTACAACTGTTTTTAATATAAATAATAGAACCTCCACCTCCACTTATGTTGCTAGTGGAGTTATCGATTTTAAAATCTCTGTCTTTTCTAAACATACTAAAACCTTCAATAAAAATTTCAGCATCTAAAATATCACTATTAAAATGAGTTTCTGTAATGCAGATTACATGAATAGATTTATAAACTGATAGAATACATTTTAGTTCATCAATTTTATTAAATAGTCCATTAGCATTAGTATAAAAAATATTCATGGGCTGACTACATTCTTTGTTACTGCTATTTACTTCTTCTCCGCCTTCTTCTCTGTCTTTTTCTTCTCTGCTTCTTCCCGCCTCTTCTTCCTCTCTTCTCTGGCTAAAAAACGGATCTCTCGGTCTGCTCTGCAGAGATCCAGATTTATCCAGTATGATGACTCTTTCCAGCCCTTGCCATGGTTGGAATAATAGTTAACTGACTCCTGGTCAGCTGTCTGGATGATCAATGGCCGACAGGAGTCTGGCTTGTCTGAATCCACTTTACCTGCACGATGGCAACTGATAAAGTCACTTTTTTCAATCTTTAATGTCTCCTTGCAGAAATTCGAGTCCTCTTCCTGACGTAGCTTGGAGTTAGCTTTCTTGCTCTCTGGTACATTCAAAACACACAGATTGAGCTTCCTTAAATTCCGCTCATATGCATCAGTGTGCATCTTTGTCTGAACTTTACTGACAACACTTTGTGAAGCTTGCTGTATGCTCATTTCTTCAATAACTTTCTTTTGACTATTTGCAGTCACATCTGCCCAGGATTTGAAAGCCTGGTTCACTATTTTTGTGATTTCTTTTGGTTTTTCAGATGAATCATTAGAAGAACTGGTATGACTCACAGAATCTTCAACAATTCCTCTGATACACGGAGTTAGGGCCTCAAGTTCTTCTCTAATAACATTTCTCAGGGTCTTGGTTTCTTCGCTGTCTGGATTTGTGGACTGGCTCCTTGTGCCCTTGATGTGGGGGGAGATAAAGCAATTTTGGCAGCGCCAGTTAGTCAAGCGGTCACCTTCTTCCTGCGTTAATCCTGTAAGCCCAACACAGCAGTAGTGCCAGTACATTTCGCAAGTTGCACATGCCAAAGAAAACTCCTCCTCAATATATTTTCTACATTCACAGCTGCGATCTTCTTCGTCGTCAATTTCACCATTATCTGTTGTCCCACCGATCTTTTCTGGACTTCTCTTGACATTTCTGGATCGTGTACTCTTTCCGCGTGTCATACCTCAAATTATTTGTTATATAGTAGTGTTGAAAGTATTAAAAAATTAAAAGTATAACTCCACTTTTGACCTATTTGGCGGCCACTTATTAATTTCATAATCGCACCGGGTTTTTTTTCAGGGAGTGCGATTACAAAACTAATTGCACTGTTTTGAGTGACCGAAAACTTATTAGGTACGATTACCAAACTTGTTGCCGTGTTGGGTGGTACAATAACATCTGATAATTGCTTGGAAATGTATTATAATGCATTTGATTGGCACTGTTTTATGCATATCATGAAACGTTTTTAGTTATATGAAACATAACCACACTTATTACAAGATATGTCAGCTTTTTTACTAAGACTATAGAGGCATGTGTAACTTAATCCGTCACTAATTAAACCATATAATATAAGCTACAGTAATAAGCAGGGTTAAACTTGTGTGGTTAACGTAAGTGGTATGT